GCCTAAGCTATTGTTAAGCCTGTGGACCTCCCCTCAGCTTCCCCACAGGCATGCACTGGCATCCTCTGCTCACTGACTGTTGCTAAATATGTTTATTTGCTTATAGCTTCTTCCCCCACCACTGGAATATGAGATTACACTCGGGGCTTTTTCTATCTCATTCACCTCTGTGTTCCCAGTGCCTTCAGCAGGGACTGGGCCATGATAGGAACTCAGCACATGTTTTTAATTAACTAAAATTGGAATGTAAACCTGTTTATATTCATTGGTAAAAATGATTAAAAGAAATTAATTCTTGCTTCCAAGTAAGGATAAAGAATTAGAAATTAAGAGGGAGTGAATTTTTATATACACACACACAGTAATTGAACATGAAAGTTTGTCCAAATAGCAAGATAATGTTCTCTTTTTTTTTTTTTTTCTTTATTCCCAGTTGTTTGTTTGTTTGGGGACAAATCACTATGTAATTTTGGCTGGCTTGGAATAAAGTTGGCCTTAAACTTACAGAGATCTGCTTGCCTCTGCCTCCTGAGTACTGGAATTAAAGGTGTGAACCACCAAACCTGACATAGTTCCTGTTCTTTTTTTTTTTTTTAAACAGAATCTTTTGTGTAGCCCCGGCATTCACTGTGTAGCCCAGACTGACCCTGAACTTAAAGCAGTCCCCCTGCCTCAGCCTCTCAAGTGCTAGAATTGCAGTTATATGCTACCCTGTCCAACTGAGAACCAGAGTTTTTAAAGATGAATAACTGTAGAAAATACAATGATGGAAAGGAAGTAGAATCCTAAGATTGTCGTAGACTCAGAGCCCTTGCTGGAATCTGTTTTGTTGGATATTTGTACTAAGACTAGAAAAGAGAGTATAAAACCACCAGGCCATTCATTTTTACTGCCTGACACTGAAAACTAGCAAGATTGATTTGGGTCTTAAGCTGTTCTGTCTAGTTGTACTCTTTCCGGTTACCCTCAGCTCCCTCAGCTATACGCAGACCAGGTAAAACTCTCGTGAGACTCACAAATGATGCTACCCTACACTGACATCACGCTGATCCTGCTCAGACCCACCTCACCTTGCCTCCTCCCTCAGTCCCTTAAGCTTGGTGGCAGAGTGAGGCAAAAGGGAAGTGAGGCAGAAGCTGTATCTAAAAATACAAAAAAAGTGGGCAAAGATGACTGTATCAGTTACTTTTCTGTTGCTTTGATTTAAAAAAAACACACACACACACAGCAACTTAGAGAAGAAAGAATTTATTTGGGCTTATGGTACCAGGGGGGAATCCACTAACAAGGGATGGGGTGGCAGAGCAAGCCTGCAGAAGCTAGAACAGGATGCTAAGAGCTCATGAACGTCCCTGAAATAAGTATGAAGCAGAGAGCATACAGACTCCACCTGTAGTGACGTACTTCCTCCACCAAGGCCGCCCCACCTACACCTCCCCACGCAGCAGCACCAACAGAACGCCAAGTGTTCAAGCGCCTAAAATGATGGTGGGCGTTTCTCACTTACCACCCCAGCGACCATCTATGCCCCTTAATTTTGGGGACTACTGCACTTGGCCACTGTGGCACCCCAGCCAGATGTACCCTATCCATCCCCTTCCCAATTACTTCTTTCCTATTTTATCTCATCTACTCACATACACCTCACCTCTAAATCCTATGAGAAGCACAATCCCTAGTAGGAAAACAAGCTGTGTTGTCTTGTGTGTGCTCCCCTGCCTCCTCCACCAGCTGCCATTATTGCAGGCTTTCTAGGCAGAAAAAGAAGAAAGAGAAAAAAAAATTAAAAAGACCTTAAGAAGTTACTTTTTCATAGTCCCTATCCAAATCAGAAAATATTTTTTCTGTGGCAGCTTCTTGCATTTTATTTGGAAGACTAAATAGAGATGCCCATATCCAAAAGTTTTGGAGCTCATCACTATCCCCTTACTAAGTGAGAAAAGAGATACGGGGTACTCCTGGACAGTGTAATGGTGGTTCAACCATCGTTCTTCATTACTGTGGCATAGCAGCGGGCACAGGCTGTGCATCAGGGTAACTACTGAGCTGCCTCACCTGTGCCTCTGATCGTTTGTGGCATGTTTTCTGCGACCTGCTCTCAGCTTAGGAGGTAACACTGCTTACAAGTAACAGTCTGTTCTGTTGTTTTACAGGTGTATTTAGAATATCTTGGTTTGAAAAGAAACTAGAATGCTACAATCCTGCGTGATCTATAGAAATTTTGTTCTTTAATTTCTGGAACTTTGCATACCTTGAAATCACCTATCTTTATGGTGTTTGATCTGGTTAGAAAGCCTAGCATCTTTAGTGTGGGATTTATGAATCTTTCTAAAGGCATTACAAAGCCTTTAACCCTTACTGAAAGTCATAGATTCGGGGAGAGGCCTAGGAATGAGGTCAGTGCTGCAGAATTGGTTCTTTCACTGATGCAGTAACCTGGCGGCCACATTGACTGCATCCTCCATAGACCTCTTTCTACCCGTTCTCTGCTATAGCGCCTGCCATGCGCTATTCACAGTTCTCAAGGTAGCAGCTTGATCTAAAGTGAGGTGAGGTGTGAGCAACAAGGGCTTTTCCTGTGTCTGATAAACCTGTAGAAACGTTTGCAATAGTTTATATACTTTTATATACATGCAGACCTTTTCTAAAGTGTACCATTTGTGTTCTTTTATAGGACAATGAAGGTCAGACAGCTCTTCACTATGGTAAGCTGCTTCTGAATTGGTCACATTTGAACATTTCGTCTGTCTAAGCCTATGTTGTAGAGATAGTAGAACTGCAGTAGCTATCATCAGCAACAGAAGCTTCTCTACCCACTGCTGAAACATCATTATTTCATTCTTGGTACTGTCAGGGACAACCAGGATGCTAATTTTTGTTAAAATCCAATCTCTCCCTTATTTAAAAAAAAAAAAAAAAAAAAAAACTTTTGAGGTTGGGGAAATGGCTTCATCAGTAACATGCCCTCTATGCAAGCATGAGGACCTGAGTTCAGATCCCCAGTACCCACATAAAAAGCCAGGCACAGCAGCATGCATCTGAGCCCTGGGCAAAGGGAGAAAGACTTTGGGGGCTCATTGGCCGCCCACACTAACTAGGCATGGGAAGCTTTAGGCGCGGTGAGAGCCTCGTCCTGAAAGGTGAGGTGGACATGGATAGAGGGAGACACACAGCGTTGACCCCCAGCCGCACACGCAGGGGCGGCCTCCTCACACATGCACACGCCCACATAAAATAATAACAACTTCTGATGAACCCCTAGCCTGAAGTTTTACTATCTGTAGTTTTAGTTGCCCACAGTCAGTTACAGTCCAAAAGCACAAAATGTGGAAATTCTAGAAATAGACAGCTAATAGATAAAATTATGCTCTGTTCTGCATGGCACGAAGAAGACTCCTGCCGTCCTTTGCTCCTTCAGTCGAGGACGTGGCTCATGCTTGTGTCTGGCCCGTTCAGGTTCTGTATCCACCACACTACTCAGGCGTTAGGCGCCTGCTGGTATCTCAGGCACCAGCAGCTGGTGACTGAGCGTGGTTCAGATGACCCTTTGGTAGCAGCCTGACAACTTGGTTGATACCTACAACATTTGCCTCACTTTAACTTATCAAGTGGACATTAAGTCATATTGTATCATCACAAGAATTGTGAGTGCAGTGCAGTAAAATGTACTTAACTGCTGTAACTCTCTTAGTAAGTTATACATTCCTGTGTGTAGAGAAATACAAAACAGTGTAAACATGTGTGTGTGTGTGTGTGTGTATATATAGTGATATATATATATATATATATATTGTGTTTACACACTCATGCATGTGCATGTATATGTGTTGCTTGATCCCATCTTGTTTCTTGAATTTTTTTCTCAGATAAAGGGAGACTACTACAAGTGATTAAAGAAAGGAATTTTGATTTTTAATTTATTTTCTCTACTAACTGATTATCTTTACTTCAGCAATCTATAAAGTAGAGTAAAAATGATATCTAAAGTAGAAATATTAGCATACCTCTTAGAGAACTGTTAAATAAATTCAGTTAAATAAAAGGATAGTAAAGTATTTCATAAATTATAAGATACTAGCAAATATACTTCAGAGATTCTATTGTGTCTGAATATTATTGAATAAAAGACAGCCATCAGTGTTTAAATCAGGCTATGGTTCAACCACCTGCAGCCATTTCAGAAACAAGCACACACACTGCCCTGCCAGTCTTTACAGTGCTGAGCAAGGAGAATCTCAAGGGGCTCAGATGCCCTGAGGCGCCTTTGTCCACTCCTGAGCATTTGTTTAGGTACTGTGAGCATCACTGGATCACCTGGGAGTCGAGACTGTCGTACTAGCTGTTTGCAACCCATATAAATCAGACTGATAATACAAATTGAAATGTCTACAAATTTATGAGTTTACCTGGTATTACCTAGATAGTAAAACTAGCAGGAAAAAAAGACAACTTGTGAGTCCATTTCAGTTTTGAACATAAATGCCAAAATCCTCAGGAAAATATTAGCAAATGATACCATCATTGTACTTTCGACACAAAGACATGTCATAATCGAGTTGAGTTCATCCCAGAAATTGAAGGATGGTATAACATTTTAAAATGTATTAGTATGATTTTCTACATTTTCAAGTTAGGTGAAATACCTAATTCAGTAATTCAGATGTATAAAAAGCTTGTGAGAAAAGTCAACACTCAATTTAAGAAGTTTAGAAAAGTGGGTGAGATCGTATGAGTTTAAGGCAGACTCCTGCTGACTGTGCACAGACTGTTTACATCACTTAGTTTACATTTGATGAACTAGGAACCATTGTCTCAGACTAGGTATGAGGATAGAAGAAGTTAATTTATGTAAAGTGCTTAGGGCAAAGTCTAATACCTGCTATTTCTGCAGTAAATGTTCACAGATTTTATTGTTTTATGATAAAATATTTGGATAAACTAGAAATATAGTATTAGGGTTGTAGCATTACTATATAACAATCTTGTAATATGTCTACCACCAAAAGAAGGTCAATGAAAGAAAGCTGTATAGAAGTAACGTTTCCATATATCAAAAAATATGGAATTTAGTTGGTGTAAGATGAAGGTGATTCAAGTAAGTTTGCATCAAGATTGTAGAATGATGATTAAAGAAATAGAAAAAAACAGTAAAAAAATTAAAATCCTACATTAACACTATAGAATGTTGTCTCCCTGTTATAAAAGCAAAGCAGCAATGAAGGAAAAGAGGCACCAAATAGACGGGAAGCAGGAAGCACAGCAGCAGGTGTGTCATATGGAGAATGATTGGATAAAGCACCCCGTGTTGTCCTGCGGCCTTTACATGTGCAAGCACATACATGCATATTCACTCGAGCACACATACAGTCGTGCGTACACAAGTACCCACATGAACACTGTCTTCTTACTTTTCTATCACTGTGATTAAAATACCATGACCAAGACAACTTATAGAAGAAAAAGTTATTTTAAGCCCATAGTTCCAGAGAATTAGAATCCATGACAGTGGAACAGAGGTAGCAGACAGCAGACATCTGGAGTGGCAGCTGAGATTTTATAGCTCAAACCACTAGCAGGAGGCAGAGAGAGGGGGCTAATTCAAAATGGCATAAGTCTTAGAAACCTCAAAGCCACCCCAATGCTTCCTCCAGCAAGGCCACACCTCCTGATCCTCCCCAAACAGCCAACAGGGGGCCAAGGATGAAAATGCCCAAGACTTATGGGGAACACTTCACATACACACACACACACACAAAATCATGTACACACACAAAGCATGTACACACACACATACAAAGAGCCAGGCTAGTGATGCATGCGTGTAATTGAGCTTCTCTGTAGGCTGAGGAAGAGGTCTCAAATTCAAGACCAAATGTTTGATTATGAGCAGCGTAATGAAACCACACTAGAAAAACTAAGCACGTGGGAGGTCCGGGACACCAACATGAACAAGTTGGCATCATTGCAGAGGGTGAAAGTTCGCCAGTTTACGGTCTACATACACTCTAGTGAGAAAACTGCAGACCCTGTTCACATGCTTGTTTCTCCATTAATGTACTGACAGTGAAAGTATGAATTCATAAATATTTCCAGGAGGAAGTTAAAATGATGAACTTCATGTGACTGGTCTTTGATAGGAACAGATTTTGCTCCGTGTATCCAGGTCCTCTGCTGAGTACAAAGGAATGTACATCAGGATAGCAGAACATTTTATGCAGCTGTAGAAATGATTAAAACTGCTTCATATTCACAAGATTTAGAAATTGCATAAAAATATTATCTTATAGATTTATTATTATCCAGTCATAACTTTAAGAATGTATTTTTACTGAAAGAACATTTAGGTTAATTTCATTCACATACAGGAACTGGATATTAAAAGAAAAACAAATCTTGCTGTGATCAGTATTTTTTAATTTAATTTTTATAAATATGGGTTTCCATTATGAAAAATTAAAGATGTATGTACAAATCTTTAAAAGTTTTACAAGCTTTAAGTGACTTTTTCATAAAAAAATCTTTAAAAGATAAGCATGGGGTGTTTGGGTTTTTTATTTGTTTGTGGTATTGGGGGGCAGTTGGGTTTTTTTGGTTTTTGTTTTGTTTTTGAGTTTTTTGTTTTGTTTTAGTTTGGTTTTTGAGACAGTGTTTCTCTGTGTAGGCTTGCCTGTCCTGGACTCACTTTGTAGACCAGACTGTCCTTGAACTCACAGTCATCCGCCTGTCTCTGCCTCTCTGAGTACTGGAATTAAAGGCATGTGCCACAATGCCTGGCTTTAATATGTTTTAATTTTTTTTTAATTTATTCTAATAGTACAAATAAGAAAAACAAAACAAATTATCTACATCAGAGCAGTGTTTAGTTATGGGAAACCCCATTTACACAAATTTAAGTTCAAATTTATATTCTTGATTGTTTGGGAAAACACCAGGTTAAGGAACTAAGGTAAGTGTGCTGTTTTGGTTTGTCCTCTATAACAGAAGTGTGTAAACTTCCCCCTCCCTGTCTACCCCCTGAACCTGGAGCTCAGCTCTTCCCCGAGCCAGCTCAGGTCCTCTTGCCTCCACCTTCCCAGCCCTGGGATTGTAGGCATCGACCCCTGCCCCCTGGTTTTCTGCATGGATGCAAAGGCCCTGAACTCAGGTTCCTTTGCTTGGGCAGCATGCATTTTCCTTCCTGACGGAACCATCTCCCTGCCCCAAATGCTGAACTTCTAAGAGACATATTTCAGTGCGCTAGCACTCTGAAGTTCCTCGGCTGAGAATAAGCTCACACTCTGACGTTACAGACCACACTCATATGCACATCAGTGGGTCTTTTTCACTGTGTTAAAGGGTCACAGCATTTGGAACATTAAGAACCACTTTGTTAGAGCCTAGTAAAAAGCCAGACATGTGGTTCAGTGGTAAAGCACTTGCCTGTGCTTTGATCTCTACCACTGTTGATTCATTCATTTTCTGTCTCTCACTTTCCCCCCTTATCCCTTGGATTTACTTTTATCTTCTGTGCATGAATGTTTTTGCTTGTACGTGCATGGTGCCCACAGAGGCCAGAAGAATGTGTCGATTCACTGGAGCTGAAGTTGCAGGTGGCTGTGAGCCACCGTGTGGGTGCTGGGAACTGAATCCAGGACCTCTAGGACAACAGTCAGTGCTCTTTTCCACTGAGCCATCGCTCCAGTTCCCTTTGCCACCATTTTGTTGT